TGAAACAGCAGAGCGGCAGTTGTATCAGTCGTGTCCTTGGGCAAGACACTTGGAGCGTGTTGAAGTGTGAGTCAATAGTGGTGGATGGAGGTTACAGTATATTACAGGAAGATGAAAAATGGCCTGCCGCTTTCCAGGCAAGACATTATTATTGTATCTATCAACATTAAACCATTTGATTATTAAAAAGCAGGTGGATGTATTCCGTATAAGTCAGTATGGAGAACAATGGCTGAATATATTTATCCCCCAAAAATATCAGGCAACATTTGGTTAAAAAAAGTCTGCATCTGTTGTAGCCACAGCTGCCCCAGGGAACACTGACAGAAGTGAGGCGATCAGTACGGTGGCTGAGTGGATAGCACTCTCAGCAAGAAGGTCCTGGGTTCGAATCCCGGTCGGACCAGGGCCTTTCTGAGTGGAGTTTGCATGTTCTCTCCGTGTCTGCGTAGGTTTCCTCCGGGTACTCCGGTTTCCCCTACCACTAAAAATATGTACAATAGATCTGGCATGCACCTTCTGAGATGGCGACCCCGCTCCCATCTCTGTGTGGAGTGAGAGGACAAAAAATAACAAATTGTAAACCGCTTTGTGACTCTGGTCTGTGGACGGCGGTATATAAATAAAGATTACTTACTTACTAGTACGTATCATCAGCCTCTCCGACCAACACCAGCCATTCACACACACACACACACACACACACACACACACACACACACACCATACTCATTCTAGTGTCTTGCACCACGCCACAGCCGCCTCACTGTAGCACCTGATGTTCCCAGAGGTCTCCCATCCCAGTATTAACCAGACCCTGCCCTGCACAGCTTCAGAAGTCTGACAGGTTCTGGATTTCGCATGCAAGTATTATAGTCATCTTGTACGATTAAACTATATCCTGTATTTACAAGCTCATATTCGAACTAAAACACTACTATCATGTATTTATCGTACTTCTCTGGTGTTTTCTGCATCTGTTTTATTTTAAAATAATGAAATAATAATGTTTTCATGTTGTAAGGCACACATGACGGAAGTGACACAAGAAACTCTAGGACATACATCTTGGTATTTCGTTCCGCAGGAGGCAAGCCAAACCCTAACTTTATCCTAATTTCCTACATTCATGGTGCCTGCCCCAAACTTTAATCTTTATTGAATTTATTGTTTTAAGAATCACAAATAGCTAAAAAATTTGAATATTTCCCTCTGCTTTCAACCAAATAACAAGATTATAGTGAGACCTGGCGCAAGCTGCTAACCTTAGCTGTTAGCTACCATGGAGCAATGAATGGAGTTCCAGAATGTTTCCGATCTGTATTGACGCTAAACATTTATGCTTCTCTTCTAATTAAGTCAAATTAAGTTCATAAACGCTACATTACTTCCTAATATAAGATCCAGTTTTAGAGACTTCAGCGTTTGTTTACAATTAGTCCTGCAGCCTTTTCCAACAGGCACTTGCTCCAGCTTGCTAAATCAAGACCCCAGTTCCCATAGTGATGGAAAACCATGGATCTATTATAATAACTGGATAGGGTGTTACTAGCTTGTAGCTGAATAACTCATGTGCTCAGGGGATTCTCGCGGTACTGCAGACTGAACCAGACTAAATTCACGTGGGCTACCCAGAAATTTTCCCCATAGAACTCAATGCATATTAAAACAGCTCAACCTCAGCTGACAGAGAACCTACAGCTTTAATAAAGATCGGATTTTGTGGGGATTTTAGTGTCCCTTGTCATCCTGAACTTTTTTTCTTCTTAAATCCTTCGGTTTTGTTTAAATCCACACTTTAGTGCCACAAACTCTGCTCCTCTGGCTCTCGCTCTAACTCCCGCTCCGATGAACTGCTCTGATGGTCAGAGCGCGGCCGAGCCCCTCTGTGCACGTGCGTGAGACCTGGTGTGAGACCCACACACGCGTGTTTGACGCAACGCATTATGGGAGATCATCCACTGCACAGAACCGGGAGGACCAGACGATGCCCAAATACAGGCGAGTTTCCCATAGATCTTTGCGGGTTTCAGGCAACTTCCGCTAATCTTTTCAGCCCCCATGCTGTCACAAAGCGCCACTGAGCACAACCATTCATTTGAATAGGGCACCATCTTGAATCGCCGGGGCTTGTGGAAAACAAAGATAAAAATCATTGCATAAACTTTCCTCACCTCTGTCTCGCTTTTAACCAGAGCTTTTACATGTACAATGCGGCTTGACAAAAGTAGTGCCAAATACCCAGAGAAATATGATAAGTGGTCTGCTGCCGCTACACGTGACGTCACTGAGAATGAGGTGCACCCTGCAGGCTCCGCTCAGACCTCGGAAGAAGATCATGATCCTCCGCTGATCGCAGATTCAGAACAGAAATTAAGTGAAAAAGGTGTGTGTGTGGCGCTGGCTGTGGTCAGAGGAGTAGTTCTTGTGTATAAATGACTTGACTGTGCATGGATCGCTCTAAAAATAACTTGAGACGAGAAATGACAAAAGACAACTCCTGAATCACATTTGGACTTTGCATGTTATGTCCCCTTTAAATAAAGTTAATATGGAGAAACTAAAAGGGAAGAGGAGAGAAACCTTTATTTGTCCTTCACTGGAGACATTTCAAAGTCACAGTACCGTCCAAAATACTGGCTTTTTGAAGTTTTTTTAAATAGCCATTCAATTGAATATAAATATAAATATGATTATTATTATATTCGTGTCCTGAGCATGGACGCTGTCTCTTTTTCCATTGAAGAGTGGATATGACAGGGACAAATACTAAAGTTAAGAAAAAGTTTGTTTTAATTCTTCCAAACTATTGAGATCTTTGGAATCAAAGCTCAAATTAATATTTTGTCTACAGTTGAAGGCAGTGAAGCCTCTGACGACAGCGGGGTCAAAACAGTAGAAGCACAGTCTGCGGTCACTGCTTTGTTCCACTCATAAAACCTTCTCATCATGGTCCTTTTTGGTGTTAAACAGTTTGTTTTTACATTGAATATTATAAATGATACATTTTGTGATCTATTGCTGAACTTGTTGGAGCCACTGATATAAACTTTGTCTCTGTAAGGATTTGTGAAGAGTTGTCAAGAGTTTTTTTTTTATGTATTTTTCTTATATTTTCTCTCAGATTGGAACACTGATTTGACAATGTTAAAAAACATTGTTTCCATTAAATTCAGTCTTCACTAAAACTAAACGGATTGTTTAGTTATTCACATTTTGATCAAGCACAGAGTTAAAATTGCCAACACACTGTTGTTTGTACCAGCTGAATATATTTGTTCTATATTATATATAATATATATTTATGCTTTTCGTTTGACAAACGCACAACATTCCATATTGATAATTTCAGATCACAATACTTCTATTTTTACCAAACAGTCTGAGGAATGGACCGTCACTATAACTCTAACTATAACTCTTTATTCTTGTTTATTTTACTGCTGAATTTCACTGTCTGTGAATGTTTACAAATGTCCTTCTTTCTCACATGAAACCAAAATATGTGAGGAATTCTGCCTGAGCATCAAACAAGTGCTTTGAAAACACAGCACCACTTTTATTCTTAGCTCACTATCTCTTATCTATTCAAATGATTCAGATGTGGTTTGGTTGGAGTTCAGAGAAACCACAAAGAGCATCATAAATGTTTAACATATCACCCTTTTCCTGGAAAAGTCCTCATTTGTGGTCACAATATTCACTTTAGGATGGCCTTATTTGGTCAAACGGATGAATCTGATCTGATTTATGGATAAAACAATCTGAACTCTAGACTGTACTAAATACTTATGGCTGCAAGAACACAATCCAATCAATATTTCAATTTGACAAAATGCAATCAGCAAGTTGCAGGTATTGCTATTATTTGGGTCATTTACAAAAATAAAATATCCAGTTTTTATAGACATTTTTGTTGGTGCAAAACCTTAGCTACTTTTTTATTTGTGGCTAAATTTGAGACCAAACTGTTTGGCAACTGTTCTGAAATGCTAAAATGTATTTCTGCAGTTTTCTCTTTTGAAGAAAAATTCAAATCGTGTTTATGTCCAACGATGACATTTGAAATCCCAAAATCTAACCGTAATCGCAGCGTGTTGTTAGAAAAATGACAATTCCATATTTAACTAAAACCGTGCCGCCTTTTCCCATAGTGCACCTCCTGTTTAAATTGATCTCGCATGTTTCCTGCACAGTGCGTTCTGATATGACTGGTGTGAAGAGGAGGCTGCTAATTGTGCGCATGTCTCTTGTCTGTTCCTGATGGAGAAGTTCATTACTGCTGTTTCCTAATGAGCAGGCGCAGACGAATCAATCAGCGCTGTACTTTAAAAGGCATATTTCACCACGGCCTGATTCCCACGAGGTGAAGCCGAAGACAAATGCGCGAAACAGGCGTGACGCGAGAGGGAGTGTGCGGAGGAGACCTGTTCTTCTTGACCAATAAAACACAATGTGGTTTGAAGACAGAAAAAGAGAGAAACGGGCCTTGTTTCCTGTGCGTAATGGAGTAATGCTCTGTTCCACACTTCAACGTCTTTCATGCGTCAAATAATAATTGAATCTTAATTTCATATTTTATATAAAGAAATTTATTAGATCATTTGACTTTACACTTGCCCCATTGTTTGGTCATCAATTCCTTTTTTCTGCACCCGCTGTCAAACGTGGTTCCCACAAACAAAACGATAAACATGCAGATGTGCTGAACAGATACAAAAGACAAAAGTCACAAACTGAACATGCACAACAGAACCGAAACATTTGGCCCCACATATAAATACTTAGAAAATCTTTACAGTCTCATGACATAGTGCCCATTTGAATCCTTCTTTCCCATAAACATAATGTACATATTTACATGATAATAAATAGGAGCGCAGTCTCTCGGAGTCCTGCCCTCGTGTGCTTTAGTCCAGTGTCCCCCACACGGGTCCCCACAGGGTCCCCACAGGGTCCCCACAGTGTCCCCCACACAGGGTCCAGTGTCAGTGCTGTGCTCAGGGCCTGGTGCCCTGCTCTATCTGCTGGTGCTGACTCCTCACCGCAAACCTGTTGACGTGCACCGGGATGGGCACCACGATCTTGGGGTTGCGCACGGGTTCTCCAGAGCGGTTGTTCACGTTCCCGGCCTTGATGCGTTTCCACTTGGCCCTGCGGTTCTGAAACCAGATCTTCACCTGCACCTCGCTCAGTTTGAGTGCGTGTGCGATCTGCGAGCGTTCAGTGAGGGACAGGTACTTTTTACAGTGGAACTCCTTCTCCAGCTCCAGCAGCTGTTCACTAGTGAAGGCCGTCCTCCTCCGGCGGCTCTTCCCCGCGGAGCCTGCTCCCGGCAGCGCCTCCGCAGAGCCGCTCTTGGCTTTGCTCTTGTGGGACAGGGGTCCGCTGGTCCCGTCAGAGAAGCTCTCATTCTCACTGTCCGCAGAGCTGTCCTCCCGTTCACTGCACACGTCTCTGTCCGCGCACTTGAGCTCCAGCTTCTCCTCGTCTGAGCTGTAGAGTTTGGTTTCTCCTGTGGGACACACACAGTCAGTGAAACATGTGGCACACACTCACATGCAGCGCACTCAAGACACACACTCTGCTAAATATATAAACCTATAGTGTGAACCTGTTGAGACTGTTTTCACCAAAGGCCAAAACGGCAACATTGAACATAACGTGATCTGTGGGGGCTATAACCAACAAGTGGCAATATTTAACTTGCATAAACTAAATAATTACACTTTGAATTTTACTCAGTTTTCTTTATGTGTTTCTGTTTTATTTCATGGCCTCAGTTTAAGTGGTCACTGTATTTTTGTCATGAAATAGTCTAAATAAACTGGACTTTTACAACATAGGATTTGGAAAAGAAAAAGAAAAAAGGAACCAAACAAAATAATATATAAAACAAAAATATAAAATTACATTGTATTCCTTTCAAAGTGGATGTGAATTTAACAAGAGTGTGACCTGTTTAAAGTTCTGTTGTTTTCACTGAGAACACACTGGTAACCCAAAAATAGCCTGTTTATCAGAGCCCATCTCCACAACAAGAGCTCACTTGAGACAAATTACAGGCCCATTTATTTAGAAAAAAAATCTATAAAGGGATTGAACAACAGGCCACTGGTTCATCCGGATGAAGGTGCGTCACAGTAAAGTGTCTTCACTTTAGTCTCACCTGAAATGCTCTGGTAAGAGTCAGAGAAACCGAGCAGCTCCGCGCTCTTCTCGCGGTGCGCCTCCGTGTCCCGGTGCGGACTGTCCCCTACTCTCCGAGACCCGGGCTCTGCTGCGCTCAGCCGCGGCCCAGGCAGCTCCTGCGGCGGGTAGAAACTGTCCGGTGGATCCGAGAAGCTGGGCATGGTGGTGGTCAGTGCCACCATGGACGGCACTCCCGCCTGGCCCAGACTGGCACAGAACGTGTTGGTCAAACGTCCCGCGAAAGAGGCGAGCGGTGCGAGCGGAGGGATCCCTGATGAGAGGGGCGAGTGGGACAGAGCCTGCGGGATAACCAGCGGTCTGTACGGCATGAACATGGGGTAGCCCGTGTACAGCAGGTGTCCTGGCCTGGGTTGGGGCGTCCCGATCAGAGAGTCGATAGAAAACGCAGTCCCGTGTCCTCCCGGTCTCTGCATGGCGACTGTGACTGAGTTGAAACGGAGCAAAAATCAGCCTTCAGAAAGTTTCACTTCACAAAAGAGAAAGAAAGTATGTCCTTCTCGGCGCTGTCATCCCGGGCGAGTGACCGCTGCTTCTGCTGTCAGTCAGTGCGGGGGGAGTGTGCTTTGTTGTGTGTGTGGCTGCTTCTCTTTCGCTCTTATTTGTCCCACACTAAAGACATAAACATGCGCTCTGTGCTCTATAGCAGTGCGCGTCCTCGCCACAACTCCTCCTCAGAGAGAGAGAGAGAGAGAGAGGGGAGAGAGGGAGAGAGGGAGTGAGGGGAGAGGGTCGAGTCATCGCTTATCACGCGAGGTACAAGGCGAATGAAAAGGGGGTGTTTCCCTGGGGGCTCATCCATCTTCTTCAAATTACGCTTCATTTCCTTATTCAGCCGCTGACTCTTTGGCCGCGGTGAGAGGCGGTCGTTTCCCAGTGGTGGACCAAATAGACGGGTCGCACCCCCTTCCAAAACACCCCCCCCCCCCCCTCTCTTCAGCGAGTCCCCACCTCAAACTCTTTCTCTCCCCCTCTTATTTAGGCCACTTTCAAACCCGGCGTGACAACTGCCCCGGCCCTTCCCCTACTATAACAGTTGTCCACACCAAGCCAATCAGCTATTATTAATTTTGATTGATGACGAGTAATTACTTGGGATCCTGGGGAGAAAAAAAAATAAAAACAAAGGTGCCTCCCTGCTTTCTGCGCCTTGTCGAAAGAAAAGCTAAATGAGAGAAGCAGATGTTTTGGACACACTTTTTTTGTGGCCTGTTCTCCTCCTGGCGTTAAAACAATTACCGAGGACAATCCACTTAAATCAGGACAATTTCAAACTTCAGACTTTTTTTGTAAAATCTCCAAGCTGTTTTTTTACGCACACGTGTCTATATGCACTTAAAAGTACAAGCTGGGTTGAATGGCATATTATTTCACCTTTCAAACGGCAATAGGGCCTGATGATGATTAGCCCTATTGAGTCCGGGGAGCGCGCACTCTCCAGCCGCTTCTCTGATTGCATGAGGAGGACATAAACATATCTCCATCGGCTCTGATTAGCGCTGAAGGACCAGGCCACGCTAATTCTGATAATTGCAGCGTGACTCCGCGGCGGCCGTAATAGCAGGAGCAGAAAAGAATCGCCTCTCCAAGGATCGAGTGAGACCATTGGCCCAGATCGCCCCTCCGAGGACTCATGACACAATGCAGGCCCTCACATGGGTAATTATAGAGTCTGTGCTGGCCTCCATTCATCCTACTGGCATTCTGGAGCAGGAGCAAGTGCATTGTTTGTGTTGTTTGATTGATTGTGACGAGGTATAGTGTAATTTACGCACAGTTGACTATATATATATATATATATATATATATATATATATATATATATATATATTACACACCGAGGCAATGCTTAATTTTGTTCAGAAAATCTACACACACAAAAACTGTCATAGTTTGACAATGGTTATTTGATTGTTTGTTATTTGTCAACCAAATTATTGAGAGAAATAACACATTCAGGTGACATCCCATACAGGCCATTATGGTTTTCAAATTCAATTCAAAATAGAAAATAAAAAATAAAATGGCTTGCAAGTCAATAAAGTGAGCGTGCAACCAATCTTCATCAATAATAGTGAATAGATCGTCACGCCTGCGTGGCCCGATGAAGATAGTGGTTACATATAACACCCACAAATATTGCTTTGATATTTTTTTAAATTTATTTAAAGTACAAACGTGAATTCTCACAAAATCGTGAAGTGATGATTATGAAAATATACAATTCTTTATTTTGTGTAATCACATATAAACATTGATTGAGAGCCAAACCCGTAATTGTACAAAAACAACAGAAGCAATATAACGTCTTGCAATAATAAAGATAAAGATAATAATAATAATAATGACGATAATAAAAATAAATAAAACAGCATTGCGAAGAACGTTTTGTGTATTGCATTTGCACTAACTAGCCTGGTCTGCAGCTCCCTCTTGTGGCGGAAACGTTAACCCCACACTTTGCAAACAGTAAAGGGAAAATTACAGAATAAATCATTACAGAAAAATATCCAATTTCACATCAAATCTCAACACAAACATGGATTGTAAAATTATCAACAATAAAATAATGTAAATAAAACACATTTAGCAGCAGCTCAGTGGACGTAGCCCCAGTGGACATAGCCTCAGTGGACGCAGCCTCAGTGGACGTAGCCTCAGTGGACGTAGCCTCAGTGGACGTAGCCTCAGTAGATGTAGCCTCAGTGGACGTAGCCTCAGTGGACGTAGCCTCTGTAGTCCAGCAGTAGGTAGTTCTTGAGGACAGTGGGCAATGTGAGGTTTGGGACAACTTTGTGCACACGACCGTCCAGAAATATTCGGATTTTACACCGACACAAGTGCTGCAGAGCTCTGGGCGTATGCTCCAGGGCGAAAACAGAGTCGTAGAAATGTTTGTGTGTCTGTAAAACAAAATAATACTGGATTAGGTTGTGTTTTCGGGAAGGGTATGGTTTGAAATTGGAAATGTGTAAAAGTCCTGCGATCAAGACAGCAGATCGACTTGAGTTGATAATTGTAGTACTGTAATTGTTTTGCTGTCTAATTTAAACATGCATGAATCAGTCCAAGTCTAAGTTTAAAAAGTTTTACAAAATACTTTTTTTTCTGGCTACAGAAGGAGTGTCTATGGAAAGGAGATGCTTTGGCAGAATATTGGTTAATCTGTTCATCTTATTTGACTAATTACTTTTTTAATTGTTTGATTTTATAAACTGTTTTTAGCTAATTCAGTTCGCACTCCCTCAAGAAAACCCATTTTGTGAGTTTTGGGCTGTACCAAAATTCCATTGATATTTTGATATTGCTTTTAACAGGCGGAACTACGTCCGTCAAAATCTAGGGGATTAAAGCTGGGGTACATAACTTCAAACTACAAGCTAATGGAACTGAGTCATCAATGCGACTAGTTCCTGGCTTTAAAACAGTTTTGTTCTTTGAGTAGTTGCACATATGTTTTATTGGTTTAAGATAAGCTTTTTCAGACAGAAAAGTGAAAGAGAGAGCACCACCTTCACTCAGCCAATCAGCTCTCACCCTAGTTTCATACGAGCATGCAAGAGATGACATGTTTCTCTTTTTACTCTTTCTGTTGGAAAAAACACACACAATGTATTATGTGTGAGAGAAAGGGGTCAGGCACCTCATCAGGACAACTATCCCACAGTCTGTTCTCAAATACCTCTGAGTTATTGTTTCTGTTGTTTCTGCTAAATCTACAGTGACCCACATTCTGAATGATGACATATGTCAATCAAACGCATGTGGAAAAAGTCTTCTTGTACCTGATAGCTGTCGGGGGGCACTGCTTCCACCCACTTGTCGTTGACTTTGAGGCGGCTGTATGCGTTCAGAAGGACCTCGATGGTGTGCGGAGACTCAGAGCAATGTTTCATAACCTAAAGAAGCACAGAGCAACGCAATCATCATTGAAGTTGGAGAGAGAGTGCGGCGCAGAACTGAGAAACAAAGTAATTAAACACTCGGAAATGAACAGATTGGTCTTCCCTCCAGGGGTTTAACTGGAAATTATGCAATTAGTGCTAATTAATCTCCTATTAACACTTGCCTAATTAGGAAGCCGGCATTTTGTCTGCTGCACGTGGGTTCATTGGTAGTTGTAGTCTGTTTCCCGCAGCGGGTGCAACACTTCATGTTGTGTCATAAAATGGGAGTGATTTGAAGGCGTGAAAGCAGAGACAGAGTGAGAGGAGACTGCATCGCTCTCAGGACGATTAGGTGTGACACTAATTATACATGTGTGGGACAAGCTGAAACACAACGTACCATGTTTACATGTCGTGTCCAAACTGGGACATTTTCCACGTGTTTTCAATATATTACAAATATGTATATATGCATATGAGTACACTTCATACACACATTTTTTGTAAACCTTGAATATGTACCTAGTTAATCTTTTTTGCAAACATATTCATCAAAAAATTAAGTATTCCTTTTCTCAGTAACAGTACAACATTCATTTGTGTTAATAACATAATCCCTTGGGCATTTTATCAAGTAATTTTATACATCAATTAAAAATAGGTTCAGCTAATTGAAAATACAAACCAAAGGATATTAAGCCCTGAAGAAGACTTTCTGTGTTCATCTCGCTACAATATTCAATATATTTTGCAATTGACAGTACATTTTAGAGATTTTGCTCAAGAAGGGATGAAACGTTATTTACATGGCACTAGACCTGAAGGTCATGGGCTTGATCCGACCTCAACACCTTCTCCACCGACTCGTTGTGTCCTTGGGCAAGACACTTAACCCCACTTTGCCCGAAGCCCCCGCTGAAAGATCAAGGCTATGCTCTCACTGACAGAGCAGCCGTCCTCCTGTGGACTCACCACCTGCAGAGGATCAGTGAGGGGCTGGTGCTATGTGACTTGGGTGGCATCTCTGACTGCCACCCCCCGACCCAGAAATGGATTAAGGGGTAGAAAATGGATGGATGGTTAAAAACTGCTTGGTAATGGGTCAAACTGTAAACCTTTCAAATATTGTCCTAATGGCACTTCTCTGCTTTTGCAACTAAACTATTCATATAAAACACAAACATATATTTGACCTGTTTGCTGTCCTGGAACGTGTGTTTGTGTTTCAAAAATACAACAACAACAAAAAATCCAAACTAATTGAGAGGCAATGACTTGGTTTTGCCTCTCAATTAGTTTGACTGACAACTGGAAGAAGCAGAGTGATGTGTTGGTGTCGATTTATACCATAAGTTCCTAATATTAGTGTGAATGGAGCAAAGGACAATTCTAGATCTGTTTCGATGAAGGAATAATGCATCAACATTTAAAAGAAGACCCAGCCACTTTAAATAACGTACAATTGGCAGTGCTCCAGGCCAGACCCGGATGGAGCCGTGGTTGAGCAGCGCCCGCACCACCCTCTCGGGCTCATGGGACGTCTTGTAGCACACGGCTTTGAGGATGTTGTGCAGAGGAGCCTCGCCGCCGTAGTCCATGTCGTTCACGCAGGCGCCTTTAGCCAGCAGCAGCTCCACCACGTCGGGATTGGCGTTCTTACAGGCCAGATGCAGGGGCGTGCGCTTGTCCTGGTCCATGGTGTGCACGCTGGCCCCCGCTGCCAACAAAGTCTGACACACACGGAAGTAGCGGTGCAGATTCGAGGGTTCCTGAGGCTGGGCGCAGGCCGCGTTGAGGGCTGTGAGGCCTTCGTCGTTGGGTCGGTCCACTTGAGCCCCTGTAGAAAAAAAGGAATGATTTCTTTTTTCATTATTTTGCACTAAAATTCTTAAAGGAGCAGTATGTAAAAATCTGGCCAAAAGTGGTGCCAGATATGCAGACAAATCCAGCTGGGACCATAATATCTGAATAGAGTTTTGTCAACAACAAATCTGTAATCAACACATTTTTCACAAAGACCCTGATAGAAATCCTCATTTTATTCTTTGTTTTGTCGTTAATGATTTAAGAATCATAACGAGACCTTTTAAAGTTCTTTGGCCACACGGTACTTTACCAGTGAGATAAGCTCGATGATGTGAGTTCTGGCAACTCGGACCACAGACTTTATGATTGGTAAAGCGGTGGAGGGCAGGACATCAAAATGAAAACAATAACAAGATTTAGGGGAAATTCAAGTATCTCGGCTGAACTACTGTTATCAGTTAAAGAAGTATTGGAAAAGAGCGTGTTTTATTAATACCTTTTGACAGATTAGGGCCATTTAATGATGACTTGACATGAAAATCTTACATATTGCTACTTTAATAGACACATTTTAGTATTATTTTTTTCTTGTTTTAAAGTGACTTGACAATCTATGAAAACATATGACCTGAGATCTAATGCACATAATGGCCAAAGAAATAAACTACTATTACTACTATTCTGCAGTTTGGTAGTCTGCTTAAATATCATAAGTGAATGATGCGGTCTGGAACCATCCATTCATTTTCTTGTGGGAGAGGTAGTTTTATGATTGTCCATAGTTGTTTATTGGGCGCTATGAATTTCTATCACAAGGGTCTGAACCTTTGCACCAATCATATCATTTCAAACCGATTACATTTGTTGTGCGACAGAAATGCAATGAGAAGGGAAGAAGTGAAAAAGACAATCATGTTTTCATAGTGACGCCAAACAATGAATGCTGGTTGTGCAAGTTAAACATGAGGAAAGATATCTGCTGAAAACAAACAAGCATCAAATCATCGTTGTTGTCTTGCCCTCCCTCCCCGTTCAGTGATTGGCCCCCAAATCCATGCAAATATTTCATCCTAAGTTTCCATGCTGTCGTGCAGTTTGAAATGATTAGAAAGCACACAGCAGCATGGAGATTCCCAGGCAGTTTAGAGGATGATTCACAGGAAAACAGCCTTTTTCTAAAGTAACATTTCCCACAAAAGTTTACGAGACACCGCTAGATCTGGGTTTACAAAATCAGGACATGCAGGTTTTTGTTACCTGGATTCATCTTGGACAGAGGATTATTTTTATTTTTTTGCAATTCTGAACACTCCTATGTTTTGTTTAAACTGATGCGGTTCATCCGGAAATCATCTCCTCCTTTGTGGCACCACTGTTTTACAACAAAGAATGTAAAATGTATGTTGTATAGAGACACAGACCGTAGCGCAGGTAGAGATCCACGTGCTCCGGGAGCCCGTTCCTCGCTGCCGTGTGGAGAGGGGTGCAGTCCTCGTCGAGCGCGCGCCCGTTGATTGCCGCACCGTATTGGAGGAGGTACTTGGCGCATCTGCACGCATACAATTAGTCGACAAACCGCGGCACAATTAGCGGCTGTTCTGGGGAAGTGTTTACAGAGGGAATGATGTGTGCGAACATAAGGATCACATTCACTGGAGTGTACCGCACTTTGGATGTTTGTGATCGGTCAGATGGACTCCATTCATGTTTCAACACTTTGTGATGTTTACATAACAAGATTGAAATGAGACACACTATAGTATTCTGTATAATCCCAATTACCAACAAAATCTTTAGTGTAGGCCAGACCCTAAACCTAAACCTGTCTGTTTTATGCCGACCTAATGAAGCTAAACAAATTGGAATAATCTCTGTAAACCACTATCTTGTTTTTTGAATGTAATGTTTCAATTACAGTGACAGTGGCTGAGTTGGTAGAGCATTGGCCTTTGGGCCTGAAGGTCGTGGGTTCGAGCCCACCGTAAGACCTACTACACGACTCCCACTGATGACTGCTGTCGTTGTGTCCTTGGGCAAGACACTTAACCCTACTTTGCCCAAAGCCCCAACTGAAAGATCTCAGCTCCTGTGGACTCACCACCTGCAGGAGGATCAGTGAGGGGCTGGTGCTATGTGTACTGGGTGCAGCTCTGACTGCCACCCCCCCGACCCAGAAATGGATTAAGGGGAAGAAAATGGATGGATGGATGGATGTTTCAATTAGGGCTGTCAAACGATTAACATTTTTTTGTTGATTAATCGCACAGAAATGGTGAGTTAACTCACAATTAATCGCATTTTTTGCATTCTATTTACAATCCACTCCAATTGAAGTTAAATGAGATTTCAAATATAATGACACATTGCCACTCAAACCAAATGTACTTTAATCTGTTAGATCATTCGGACATGCGTTAATGCGTAAAAAAAGAAAAAAACGCGTTAATGAACCTGAGACGATCCAACACATAACTGCAGGGTGCAAGATGCTGGCAGGGAAGGCCTACATGGAACGCCATAACCAAGTGGCTGGCATAGTGTACAGAAACATCTGTGCAGAGTATGGGCTGGAAACCCCAAGGTCTAAGTGGGAAACTCCTCCAAAGGTGGTGGAGAATGAGCGTGCAAAGATCCTGTGGGACTTCCAGATACAGACCGACCGAATGGTAATGGCGAACCAACCTGACATAGTGGTGGTAGACAAAGGGCAGAGGACAGCCGTGGTGGTGGACGTGGCAATTCCAAGCGATGGTAACATCCGGAAAAAAGAACATGAAAAACTTGAGAAATACCAAGGTCTCAGAGAGGAGCTGGAGAGGGCCTGGAGGGTAAAGGTGACAGTAGTGCCCGTGGTGATCGGTGCACTCGGGGCAGTGACCCCGAAGCTAGAAGAGTGGTTACAACGGATCCCTGGAACAACCTCGGACATCTCGGTCCAGAAATGTGCAGTGCTAGGAACAGCAAAGATACTGCGCAGAACCCTCAAGCTCCCAGGCCTCTGGTAGAGGACCCGAGCTTAGAGAGGGATAACCACCCGCGGAGGGCCAAAGGGGAGTGGACAATTTATGTATATATATATATAAACAAGATGGTTCCTCTTGATGCGGAAGGAGAATATCAGACATATCAGTATTTCTATAAGACTGGAGGCTGTAGACTCCTAACAGATCAGAAAATCTCTTAGTGACTGAATGTATTTGTTCACATTATGTTAACATAAATAGTCTAGTTGTTAATAGCTGCATTTATTTAGTAGATAAAACCAATTTTTATTGGAGTTTGATTATTATAATATTCACATTTCTCTCATGTCCTTCTCACTAAGGGTTAAATCCCATTACTATAAAGTGAATACTGCATGGTGCTCACCCCAGAGACTCGGGCTGGGTGCAGCAGTGCAGTGGCATCAGTCCCTCCTCCGACACAGCGTTGGCATTGGCCCCGTGCAGTAGCAGAAGCCTGGTGCTCTCAGGCTGACACTCCTCACAGGCCTCATGCAGGGCCGTGCTGCCCCCGGGGGCCAGCTCCACCTCGGCCCCTCTCTGCAGCAGCAGGCGCAGGCACTCGGAGAAGCCTCGCGACGCAGTGATGTGCAGAGGAGTGGTCAGCTCCTGCTCGTACGCCAGGGACCACAGTCCTGCAACACAGCAGGTTAGAACACTTTACATGTAGAATTACATAAGATGGAACAGGTCTTCTCTGACTGCAGTCTACAAAGATGTGCCATCTATCGAGCCTTGATCTTTCAGCAAGGGCTTCAGGCAAACTAGGGTTACATGTCTTGCCCAAGGATACAACTAAATCATTTCTCTCTTATTTGGTCACATTGATGCAAAGGCCAAAACTGACTTAATTCAAAACAAATATACACACTGCTTGTAAATGAGATAGCATTAACCTAAATCAACACTACTATGAACTTTACAGTGCAATTTAGTTGAAGCTATATTTAGTTGAAGCTCAACACCCAATCAGTATTAGAGATTTAATTCATTTCAATTAGTAGAGTTATTGTTGTGTGCCACTCATTCCTACTGGTTTGTAACTAGTGATGCCGCACTGAAATGTCCCCACTGTGGGACGAATGAAGGATCTCTTCATCTCAATCTCAATGCATAAGTAAATATTATCTACATTTTTTTATATTTACATCGTGCATTTCACAAGTGAAGGTCACACAAAGCACAATACAAAATATTCCACTACCTCCACACACTATGATATCAGAAGTGGTACTACAGAAAACCTTTAGGGTCTCACAGCAAAGATGAGAGAGAAACGTACTGAGATTCCTATAGTTGAACCTGTGATTTTTCCACTCATCGATATTGCTGGTGTCATAGACGGCATCTATGAGGTATTCGTACTCTTCGTCGTCCATGATACTGATGAGGGTGAGATCGTCTCCCACCAGCAGAGAGTTCCAGAACTGAAGGACGCAGCCAGATGCCTTGGACGTGGCGATGACATCTGTGCGGTACCTCTTCTGTTTGCGATATTTCACTTTTGGAGCCTTGTAAGCCATTGTTGGAACGACTTCTCCCTCCTCAACTCTTATGTAGGTTGTTTGTTGGAGTGGGGCTATTTCAGTGCTGTCATTTGATATTATGGCTGACACCACAAACCTCACAAGTGCCACAGGAGGCAGTAGACTATTGGCTCCTGTGGCATTGGTTTTATAATCATCAAAATAAAGTCAAATGCAGGTTTCTTTCTTTTACTTGTAGAGCTATCTTTCTATAGTTGTAAGTCGGGTGGGCTTTTTAAACTTGGTCATAGTCAATCGTGAAATGCATCTGGGAGGAACTTTCTTATTAGCGGCTATGTAACAAAAAAAAACACGATTTTCCTAGTTGTATTGCTAGTTTTCAGATGCATATATTTTGGCCTCTGTCGCACCTTTAGAACAGCTTTTTCAGACAGAAAAGTGGAAAAGCCGAGCCTCACTCAGCCAGTCATCTCTCTGCCCAAAGTGTCATATAGTGAGTCACAGGGAGCTTTCTCACAGATCGGAAAAAGAGAAAAAGTTTCCTAATAAGATGGAGAAAATGTGTGGTGGTCTAATTTTTCTCATTTTATATATACAAGAATTTTTTTGTCGGAACAAAAAAACAGGCTTCTATATGGATACAAATTTGGTAACCCATAAAAACTGCCAGTGAAGACATTGTAACTAATGAGTTTTTGTATAACCCCATATTCCTAGTAATAGTAATATTTTCCTTGGTTAACAAGGCTGCAATAAATGCCTCACACTGACCCCTTGTGGTTGAAATTACTATGATAAGCTCATGAGCAAATACAACTGTGCTTTTAAATGAGCTGTTGCCTGATTTCCACTAAATATAACAATTATTTGTTATTTTCAATGTCACTGATGCAGGGTTGGAATAATCACACTGGGCTTCGGCCTAGTGTGACATCTTAAGCAGTTTAGTTTTTTACTAAAAAGACTACAATTGTACGCATTCTTGTATCTCTCGGCTCATGCTTCAACTCTCCTCCTCCCCGACATTGACTCAACAGTGGAGCTTTTTCATCCATATCATTGGCTCATCATTTTTTTCCTGAGAAATATCCTTTTCATATCTCTATTTGACCTCCCTCCCTCGTGTGAAATGAGCAAGGGTCTATATACAGAACCATATATCCCAGTAGTATAGCATATGCAACCAATTACAATCATTCTACTATGTTACATGCCTGCTCGGTAAGTGCCAATCAATCAGCAGAGACCACTTTACTTCCTGCCAGTTGCTGCTGCTCACTAAACATCTAATACATTATTTGAGTAATATTAAACCGTTTGAAATAATGTTTGTTGAGATTTGTCATGGTCATGGAGAAAACAAACACCATAGACGTCTGGACTTTGAACCATCCACCCCTCACCGTCTCCTTCTTGAACCCAGCGCATGTCTCCTCCCTGGGGCTCGATCACCATGTGTACCCGGGCTCCTTTGGGGAACAGGCGCTGCAGAGCCTCCAGGTCCCCAGTGTACAGGGCGTGTATGACCACTGCGTCTTGGCACACTGACGGTGGGACTGCAGCAGAGGAGGTCCTGGTCCTCAGAGCTGCCCTCTCTCGCGCCTCCTTCTTCAGCACGTAGCGCCTGTAGATAGAGGGGAATGATTATGTATTGTTTTAATTGTCTGTAGAATTCTATTATTGATCATTCAGTCTAAACCAAGCCCTGAGTCTCCAATGGCTCAATCTTATCTCATCAATGGCTCTTGCTGAATAGCGCGGGCAATTCACTATGGACGCCCCAAAACATTTGCAAAAGTGATGTATTTTGGCCGCTCAGGGTCATGGTCTTGTGCTCAAGGTCTGCAGTGGTTATACATGTGCAGAATTAACAGGAGCCGTTCTGACCAATCAGTGCTGACTGTGGATGTGCAGATGACCTTAATGAAAACTGTAGGTTCCCTGTCATCTGAGGTTGAGCCATTCTTGTTTATATTGAGGTCTCTGGGGAAAATGTCTTGGAAAGCCCATACGGATTTAAGCTGGAAGTGGCCCCTTGTCTATGCTTGAGACTAACAATACACTATCATTTCATTTCAGGTTATAACTGGGGGGAGGCGTGTTATTCAGATCATCATCATTATCATTATTACACTATATATTGAAAAAGTGTATTCATATATTCAGGTAGATTGCTTTTTAAGACAGGCCCAGCAACAAACAGGACAACATCCTACAAGTTTGATATAGAGCACAAGGGTTAAGAGAGCCTTTATTTGTCCCACAGTGAAATTTCATTATTGCACCTCCACCCTTGTGCCATCCTCGGGTCAAAATGACCCGCCACAGTGATGATTATTATTTCTAACATGACCAGCTCGGGGTCATTTAGACCTGGCTGCTAAACTACTTTAAATCACTGTGGCAGGTCATTTTGAGCCGAGGATAGCACAAGGGTCTCAATTTAAAAAAACATATCCCGCCTTTAGTTCAGTTTGACATGGTTTGAAAGTTACGTATCCCAGCTTTAGGTAGGCCTCTATAACCTTAGCCAACACCGATACAACGCATGTTTTAGCACAACCGTGATGGACTTGAACATTATTGTACATGACTTCCAAAATAATCCAGACATTCATTTCTAACCTGTATGACTCCGTCTGCCTGCTGCGCCGCTGCGTCTCCAGCTTCTCCTCATCCTCGGCCAGAGAGCGCAGGGCTGTGGGGCTGAAGGCGAAGCTGCCTCGGGACATGGCTCGCGTCTGACGGAGGCCAAATGTCCGCCGTGTGACTGCTAGCCTCCCCTTGTTGTGATATTTGGTATGGGCCCTCCCCGCAGCGTCACCACTAATGCTATTTTTATGTCCAAAAGAGACACTTGACCCTCTGCTGCTCCTGCTGCTGCTGCTGATGCGCCTCCGGCCGCTCTCTCCAACAGCTCCGTGCGCACAATGGCCCTGATGCTGTCAGACTGTCATCTATACTTTTATACAACTCTCAGCCCAACGCGTCAAAACGAGACTTACTGGGACTTAGGTTACAAGTAAGATACAATGTTTTCTATTAATGCGACAAGAGCTAATTTGTTCCAACCTTTATGTGAAGTTTGTGTGTTGGGACAAAACATGTATTTATTAATTATTATTTATTAAAGGGACAGTATGTCAAATGCACTCGTAGTTACTCGTAGCTACCCTCTCAGTCGAGAACATACACGTTCAGAAAAAGTCAGACAACGGGTTAGACAAAATATTTCCTTTTATTAAATGACTTGGACCGTATGCGCGCCCTGATTGGCTGATTACCGGTCTGATATTATCTCGGACCGTTACCATGACAATCTGTCCGCAGCCCATATCACACAAAACCAAGTCGGACGTGAACATACTTCACAAATATCTCAAAAGCATTGGTAAAGACACAGTCGAGTCATATAATAAAACATTTATTAACCTCGCTTGCTCGGTCTGTACGGAGAAATATCAGACCTTGTCCTTGTTGCACAGACCTCGCTCACGGCTCGGTCTGTACTTTAAGGCCGTGGTCTGATATTTCTCCATACAGACCTCGCGCTCGGTTAATAAGCCGTTATTATTACACAGCTCCTCACAGCAGCAGTAGAACGCTCCACTGATTTGAATGTAATTTCAAAACGTTCTATCGGTCATTATTTCTTGATAACAGACCTCTCAAAATAATAATGGCCGCTGCCCTTTGGCAACGCAACCTCTGCTTGTAATTCAGATGTTTAGATTACTCCGCAAGTAGTTCCGGCCACTCCAGAGCTAGCCACGGTCAATAAACACAAATGCCAATCAATCAACAAATTTAAATGTTAATTGGAGAATACACTAGACATATACATTCTTAATACACATGCACGGAGGATTTAAGAATTTTCTGTTAATGTTTTCATGACAAAAAAACTGTTTTAATGCGAGAAAAAGTGATTGCAAAAAACCCGGAAGTAGATTCCGGGACATTTTAGGAACATTTTCAGAGGATCGAATTATGGATTAAGGTTAGGTTTATGTTTGGGTCACTCACTGCTGATGTTTAGAATTCTTTGTTTAGTTTTCATGCGGTTCCAGAGAGTAATAGTTTGGGAGTTGCAATCCTAACTTTTACTAGCCTAGCTGTTGCAAAACTGTTACTCGCATAGCCACGGGAAAGCCTTTGGGAACTATTTTATTTTCTGTCATTAAATAAACCTTTTAGAGTGGACTGAAGTTTATTTTGTGTGTTCTGTTGGTACAAAGCCACATAAAAGGAAATATGCGCGTCGGGGTCCGCTTCGCCCTATCGGTACTTAATTTCCGATATTGACCTGTGTACGATACATTATCCCTTACTTAATTTCTTTTGGTTTGTATATATACAGTATCCCAGTGCACTAACTGCTCATTGGGATAAAGCTTCTCTGATGTATAGGACTTCACAGAAATTACCATTTGACTATTTGACTAATTGAATTTTTTTTATTGAGTTTAGTTGAAAAGGAGTAATACATTTCTATTATGAAAAGAGTTATTAACGTATTGGTTATATGCTGTGTCGGGTGTGTGCACCAGTGTAATGTCATCCTTCACTTCTGCTGCTTATGGTGTGAGCAAACCGGAGCCATAAAATGTTGTTCGCCACATTAGACTGAGTGAGTGTCTGCAGCTCTGCCTCTCCTCACACTCTCCTCACACAGGACGCCATGTTATCGCCTTTGGTCTGTGGGCGACATCCCATAATATCAAGTCTGTGACACTGACTGCGTTTACAAAGTGAAAACCGAATCCAGTTTCACTCAGATGATGATGCTCTGGATTCTTCCACACCACTCATTTGCAGTCCTTCAGCAATCATTCATTTAATCCATTAATCATGATAATTGAATAGTAAAGAAATCATAAATTCATATCGACATTCATAAAAGTTACCACATCCTTTTTGCCGTTCTTTGAGCCATAATATTACATGTAAAAATAGGTTTTGCCAGAATTAATTTCACATGAGTAAACTAAACTAACTAATCTATAAGTACGAGGTGGAAAGAGTAGGTGTTGGGTCAGAGAGTTTAGTCCTCTGTCATGTGCGTGTGTTTGTGTGTGTGTTTTGTCCCTCTGATATTGTATTGTGCTTATCCATTTTTCTTCTTTTTAAATAACTTTGAAAAAACTGTGTAATGCAGGTTTTGACATAAATATCTTAGTTGATTAATTCAATTCTTACATTCTATTAGAATTAAAATTAAAATAGTTTACAAATTCATAAGCACAACCAATGACATTTGTTAGATGGAAAGCAATAAAGGCTAATGTCAAGTTTACATTCACCATTTCCCCAAATTTTAGGAACGAACCGCCCTCTACACTTTTTGTTCAAAAGAGCACGGATCACCAGAATGATTGACAATTGGGAGGACCAATAGTCTTGATGATCCACCTGGAAGTAGAAAATCCTCTTATATACCTATTTAAAGTACAGTTGAACCCGCCCCCATGCAGGTTCCTGATTGGCTGCAATCATCATTGGTGTGACTATTCTCCTTATACTGATGCTGTTCATGTCAAGGGGAGAGACTTTATTATTCTTTGTTTACATTAACTTTAAGATTAAGAGATTCTTTATTCGTCACACAGTGGGGAAATTTCAGTGTTGCATCACAAGTTACAGAACAGTAGGAATGAAGAGCACACAGCCCAAGATAAATTAACAATGACTTTACTAATTACAATAAAATCTCCAACCCTAGTGTACCCCTTTTAACTGATGTAGTCAGGAAAAATGTAAATCTATATCAATCTGGTCTATGTCTATACAATTTAGGGTTCTATTAACTTAGATTCGTAAGGAGATTGGCAATGACAACTCTAGGTTATAAAGAGTAAAATGAAACCTCCAACCACAATAACAGACACCGACAACTGTATGAATATGAAAAAAGAAGGTATGTATTCTTTAAAAAAAAATACGTTCAAAGATTCAATTTCCAAGCAAAAAATATTTGGATCCCCATAAACTTGACCATTAACATGAAACAAAAAAACAAAACACCATTGACAATGTATCAGTTACTTTGGTTGCATTCGTTCACACTGTCCATTTCAGTAGAATGTATTCAGTAGTTGTTTTTTGTTGGTTATTGTTCATTTAACCTTTTTGTTCTGATGCATCAGTTTGTTTAGTTTGTGGTACCAAGCTTGAACCAAAAAAAATAATGTTTTGAGAGATCAATAAAAAAAAGTAACTCCTCAAAGAACCCGGTTTGTGTCCTACCACCCTCCTTGGAAACAGGTGGCCAATGGAAACTGAAGGTCTCGTGAACTCATCTCCGCTGAAATCCAGTCCGTGGATAGCTCCGCTCAGTCTCTAGATGATTGTCTCTACAAAAAAAAACCAGCCTGCACAAAAGGTGCAGAGCAATTACTGTCTGTGTAAAATAAAATTGTATCATTAACATCTAGCTTTTGTTCCTACATGTAAATAAAAAAATAAAAGTGACCAGTGGAAAAGTAAATGTTCATTTTAGCCACGTATCTGGCCCACAGCGCCACCGCATGCACACATGCGTGTAACTCGTGTAGTGCTCATGTTATAAGCACACGTGCGGGTGCGCTAGCTTACATTTTCCACAGCTAACATCACATTAGCAGCTTTTAACACACATTTTAACACATTATCAACAAAACGTATCATATCTCGACTGGTTTTAGAGTTTGAAGTGCACATTCATCGACACAGTTTACTCTTACATTGAAAAAAAGTATATCTGCTAAACTTAACATTTAACACTCACCAGGATATTCTTCCGAAAATATATCTCACTCCATGGCTTAAGACATCACAAGACTCAAGCATTCATCGTTTTATATCTTACAAAATAAATTTCCAGAGTTCAAACAAGCGACCTTTCTCCTTCGGCTCCCGGAGAAAAGTGAAACTTACGCTAGCTCTCTCGCTGCATCTACAGGTGCGCTGCCTTCACAGGGCATAGGAAAAAACAAAATTCAGCAAAAAACATAACGTTTACAAGAAAATAAAATTACAATAATATCACCAAAATAACCTGGGTTACACTCTCCCCCTCTAAACGGCATGAGTCCCTTCATGCACAGGTGTCCAACTGGAACATTGTGACGGGGACACGACAGTATTGGAGAATGCAACACCTAAGGCCTGGAAAAATGAACTAATGGCTAAAGTCAGCGGTTCACCTAGTTCCTCGTACGTAAACTTATGAGGTGGACGTCTGTCTCTGTCAGAGCGTCTTAAAACTACTGACTCTGAAGCAACATCATTAGTTGTAACACTTTCACTACTGACTGCAGATTTTGATGGAAAGGAAACATTGTCAGTTACAGTAGGTGTCAAGTTGGGTTCAGGAATGTCAATAACAACATAGTCCGAAGTCCTAGTGTGTGTAGGTGAAAGTTCAACTCTACTTAGACTAGGGACGTCATGTCGTGGACTTGTGTCAGGTTTGTCATAATCAGGTATGGATACTTGTGGCATTGCAACGTCACAAGATGATACAGGAGGTTGAGGTATAGAAGGGAGTGATTCTGTGTGGACGTACGGGCCTTTTGTGATAACTTGGGGCGCCCACGTACCAATACACATCTCCTCTTCATCACTCATTTCATCCTCATCAATGTATTCTCCTTCATTCCCACCGTCATTTGTTTTTGTCTGGTTCGTTTTACTCCTTGTCCGGATTTTCCTTGCATTTCCACTTTGATTGGGGCTTGGCTCACTTTGATCC